TTTGAATAATATAACGTAAGCGAGACTAAGTACAGAACAAACTTAGAATGAATGCTCTGCTCTTCTCGAGAAGGTGTGGTTCCACACGAAATCATGTAATGGCAGAATGTGCGTGAAATGTGGAAGTGAATGGAAGGAATCAAAAATCGCGGGTTTGAAAAAGCGAGAATACAAAAATATTTTGACACTGTGCCCTTTCGATGTGGGTAAAACGAACGGAAAGAAAACACACGTCATCACAAAAGCGAAGGGTTCTCGACGTGGACAGAACACGTTCAAACCGTATGAATTGATTCAGTTTTGTCGATGGTCCCAAGAGCGTCAACTGTGTCGAATCCAAAAATTTCCACGACCCCTTCCCTTTTAGGGACTCGTCTACCCCCTGCCGTAACACTTGATGAGATTCACTTGGGAATACGACCCCTTTACCACCCCTCACCACCATAGTTCAATTCTGCAGCAATTGGTTTAAGCAGGGTCAATCCTATGTTGCGACAAGTGCCAACGGGGGGTCGTATTTTGTCGAACTTGTAGGGGGGGCGTACTCGATTGAATTAAAGATTTTATATGTGAGATATGGCGAATACTAGAGTGTTTTGTCCACTCCCCCCCTGCTCGATGGCCGTTTTGAAGGGAAAAGTGGGTGGAGTTAGGTGTGTCGACTGGTCTCAGAATTAAATACTATAGAAACAGCGACCATGATGGCGAGGGTGGTGAAAGGGGGGGGGTCGTGAAATTTTTGATTGGAAGAGGGGGGTCGTAAAAAATTTCCGAAAAGTCGCAACGGTAGGGTCGACTCTGGTTCCATTCGCCATTTGGCACACTTCAATTTCAACTCCTTTTCTCCCTTCAGAACGACCACCGAGAGGGGCTAATATGTCTCAAGAAAGAAAGTTCCACTTCCCTCTCACGCCTATTTTCCTGATCATTTTGCCAAAGTCGTAAACCAGTGGAAAACGACTCCTCCCCCGTAACCGCGCCCTCTTCAACTTTCAGGAACACCCCCTTTGAACATCTGACCTTCGTCCACCCCAGTTATGACCCCACGCCCGAAGATCGGCTAGATGGTAACACAGTGGACCTTTGGAGGGCACTTGGCCAACAGCCACCGATCGCTTATCACTTCTTTCAATCGAAATTAGCTCCTGGTGAGTGACCCTTTCATACCACAAAGCCTGTATCGAAGTGATGCATGAAGAGACTGGATATAATAGGAATCGTGTAATTGTTTAAGTGTTTACCTATGCACATAAGATTTCAAAAAATATTGCCTTTACTTTACTTTTCTTCCTACCTCTAAAGTATATAAGAAGGCAGGGATCCGAGTGGTTAGACGTGTAGACTCACGTCTGCGCCTTTGAAAGCTACGAGTTCATTCCCTGCCGAGGGTAAGAAGAATAGGTTCCTGAACAGTGAATCAAACACCGTATTGAACCACAATAGGGATGCGTTCTGTGGAGCGTTTCTTCTATTCAATGAATGTCATCGTGTGCGCCAGAAATGACCGAACGCTCTGTCATTGCGAGCAAAACATTTGTCGAAAATTAATCAGTCAAATAAGGAACAAGTTTGCCCTGCACCACTCGATTGATACTATTACAATACAGTGGACTAGGTTTTCACTAGAAGTTTAAAGGAATCCTTCGCGGAAAATTCTTGCATTCTTTCTAACATGAATATGTCAGTTGTGATCACTGGAAACAGCACACAAAGTTTCACGCATGAAGATTCGGTTTCCGAAGAGAAACAAACGTACAAAAACTACACTCTATGGACAATCGAAGGTAAAGGGCGGAGCCAGGCGAGGCATGGAAAGAAGTCCGCCTTGGCCGGCTACGTACCAGGCGACGCAATGAAAGAATCGGGTTAAAGCGCGCGATTTGGAGAGTAGAGACAAATCGATCGATAGAATAGGAGAGTAGGTGTGAGATGTGAATGCAATAAGTCAAAAGGCCAGAAAGAGTTTCTAGTGAAGGCACTCCAAGAACCAAGTGGAAGCATTCCCCGTCGCCAGCATTTGTGACAGATGTCCGGCGGGAATTTGAACGCGTAGCAGCCCTTTCCAATTTTTTTACCAAACAAATGCAAATTTTCTGTTCTTTTTCATTTATCGTGGACGATGAGTCTCAAGCCAGTGATTTATGGCTGAAATAGAATCGTGATTTTTCCGTGAAGGATTCCTTTACCTCACAGTGTAATTTTTGCTATTTGTTTACGGGATCCCACACGGAGCTGTAGCAAACCAGTGACAAGCTTGAAAAACAAATTGCTGTTATCAAGAAGCTGATTTATGACGAACTGACTCGTCAGTGCATCTACCCATTGAAAATAGACTTCCGTGTCTAGAACTGATAGTAAAAACAAGTCCGTAAAACTAGCCGTAGGGGAAAGTCACATAGTTTTTGAGCTCAACAAGAGAGGTCATCACATAAGGAATTGTCTAAGTTGGACAAGCATTTTGAGATACGCACACACTTTCAAATTGGAATTGCAGTGTGTTTCAAAAGAGAACATCGCCATTCACGACTCTATGAGGCAAGGTAGTGCCTCGCAGGTCTCTCTTTTTATGAAAGCCATGCTTGTAAACAGTGACGTCTACAAACTCGTGTCTATCTATAGGTTTCTTAAGCCATGAAACTAGTAGCACAACTCACTTCATCGTTAGAGGGCCTCCAAACATATACAGGGGTGGCCAAAAAAAGAGACACTTTGCCCATCGAACTTTTCGTCGCACAGGGTGCCGGTTAATGAAAGTTTTACGGTGAAATATTCCTTAGGTGTTCCCCCGTAAACAGAAGCAGGCCCTCCTTCACTGCCCCCGCCGTCTTCAGAATATGACGTCATCTGCCGCCACCGTCGAGCTCAACGAGGCTTACCGTAATCGCTCCGGCCTGAAGCTGCTACATAATTTCTTCAATGGATTAACTGTTGAATAGCTTCCAGAGACATTAGCTGTGACTATGCAAAACCGCTTTTGACCAGCGTTTCAGGGACGTCGTAATGGTCTATGGTACCTCGACGACCTCGTTGAGCTCGTACCGTGAACCATGTTTCCGTGGGAAAATCTTCTGATGTCGTCGGTGTAGAAGGCTGTCATGTAAGTTTAGATAGATTAGAATGTGCTCTTTAATACTGAGTTGGGGGCAGTCGATTTGATTCTAGCAAAGTGTGATTAATGCTGTCTGAAATGTGGAGTCAAGTGTCTCTTTTTTTGGCCACCCCTGTACAGATGAGTACTTTTGAGCTCTCTCAAAACGGAGATCGTACAAAATCTAGCAGATTTTCAAGGCTTACAACTATGGATTTTGCGATTAGCGCATTAATTGTGGGCCGCTAGTGGGCCAGAATTCACACTACAAATCGTGTTAGAGGAGAATTGAAACTGGCTTCTTATGTGAAGCATATATTCATTTCAATTTTCATTCTTATTCAGGACGAAAAGTGCTGATAATTCGCGAAAAACATGCATTTCGACCAGAATTTCAATGACAGAGAATCGGCCCTTTTCAGGTGTTGCTCAGATTCTGGCTGAAAATGCACATTATTCATAAATTTCTCGCGATTCTTGAATTTTCTGCGCAAACGGTCCTTGCTCTTTCGCATTCCAATCTGTTTTCTAATCACTGGTTTCTAAGTAAAAGAGCTCTTCAATTCCATTTCTAACCCTTCAATTCAGCTCTTTAAGATGGTGTGTGACCAAGTGTCACATAATAACAATAACAGAATAAGGTTTAAGTGTGATTGGGAGGGAGAGGTATCAAGTTTGGGAAACTCGACGCATTTAGAGCAACAGTAGACATCACCTTTCACTATAAACCAGAATCCTCAAAGCTGTTCCGGTGATAATAATTTATACTTAGTGCTCCACATATAGGAATAACAATTCATTACTAGATAAATAAGAGAAATACTGGCAAATAAATAATTGATAACTAAAAAAGTTGTTTCCATTCATGTGCGTCATTACAAAGGCGGATGGAACAGGAGTCTGATTTCAAAGGCACGATAATGGCTCTTGTTCTCTTCAAAACAGATATGCCTTGTAATGCACGCTTCATTCCTTCAATATTAAGTGCGGCTAGAAGTGCACTTTGCTGTAAATGCTCCGGTCAACTAACTAAGTAGTTGCTTGACTGATTAATAAGGTTAATAGGATATGGTTGACTATTGCCAATTAGCACCACTTAATGTATCGTGAATGGCGGTGGAGCCTCAGTCTACACGATGAAGTGAGAAACTTCACTTTGCCGTCTCAATCTTGCTAGAATTCCAGGCGAGACCACTTGGTATTATCTTCCAAAGCCTTATTGAAATTTTCGAGATTTCGCTTTCAAAAGGATTAAAGACACGTTGTCATCTGTACTGGACTCTAAGGCTACCTCGCAAAATTAGCACATCTCATCCAATTGTTTCAACCCTGTGAAAGGCATGAAACCAGTGACTTAACCAGAGACGATTAGGAAGTAACTTGGAGATGGCAAAAAGAACCGTTGAGATACCAGAAGACCAGTTTTCAAATAGCCGTACTAAAATAACAATAGAAATTCAGGTAAGCAGGAAAACATCACGCTCGACTCAAGAGCTGAGAAAACGAGTAGATGACACCACTGTCCTTGATAAGAGAGTTCGATCGATGTGGAGGAATGTTGACGATAACAATGGGATAAGCGGGCGCCCTCAAATAACTTCGATGACCTCCGCGACGGCCCTCTCTTCGAATTCATTCTTGCGAAGGAAAGGAATTATATGATCGGAGTGGTATGTGATTGATAATCCGCTGACCAGAGATCGTGGCGATAAACTGAAGAACCAATCGATGGCCATGGTTGATCAGTGACCACGGCTGCTTTCAACTTGCAAAGATCAAAGCATAGATAACATCTTTATTACATACATGATTTCAAAAGCACAGCGAAAAAAGACTATCGATGGCTGAAGAAGAGGAGACCAACGCGATGAGAAGACTTTGCACATGAGATCGAGATATGGCACTCTCAGATTCAGAGATCTGACAGCTTTGAACCGTAGCTTATCGCATCCATTTCAAGCTGGACATTATTTGCGACGGCCTTTTTTTGCTCCTGAAGTTATTGCGGAATTAAAGACCAAGTTTTGACCTTCTGCTTTCATTTTATATTTCTCTTTCATTTTTCACGACGTCTTTCAAGAAGCAAACTTCGTTCGGCTACGTAGACAGAGTGTATCAATTGGCAAACAACTTCACCTGCGTACCATTGCTGATAGTTCGGAACGACGTGGACTTTTTGCGTGGCCACGCGTCTGACAGCGATATTTCGAGCGCCTAAATGGAATTAGTAAACACAAGTGTTATGACTGGGGTTACATGATAAAGCGTAGTGCCTACCGGACTAATGCGTTCCTTAACCAGCAGCGGTTCACTGTTGAGTGGCGACTCCGGTGGCTCCAACAAATCCTCATCTCTTATCACCGATCGTGTATTGGCTACAAAAAACGTGATATACTATGAGAGCTCTCACTGAGAGGATGCAAAATCAGAGAGTGGGTGCAGGTCAGAGGGGTCATCAGCGGACGCACGCGTAGATTTAATATCTGTTGCATGGTTCTACCTCTAGTTAGCCTTCGGATGCTCAATCAATTTACTTGGAATAGATCGCGTCGTATATTGTTGATTCAAGAGCTCTTGAAACTATGAAGGTATCTGAAAGATCGTTGCTAACAACGGTGGAAATTTCCTAACTACCGAATATTTCCAAAGAAGAGGTGCAACAATTTGACTGAGCTTCATGAGGACGAAAGGGGAAGGTTCAGTTCAGCTTCTTCCATGAATAGCGGCAGCATATAAGTCAAGAAGGCTAGAAAGAGCTATGAGGGATGCATCGTAACGGTCCGAAGGCGCGATGGTTTTCTCCTCTTGTGGTAGTGTTCCAATAATTTGGAAGCTTCTTCGAAATGTTGCTCCCGAATTTGTGTAGCACTAGTCAGGGCTAGTCAATTCACGAAAATAGCTCATCCAGATGAGATATTAGAAAAATACGACCAAGATTACTGCTTACCGTACGACCTGTTGAGTTGCGAGAAACTTCGAGAACGATTCCAGGGCATTCGGGGCAAGCAGCATGCTAACCGCCGAAATTCGGTCATCCGAAAGTAACATAATGGTTGACATACCGAATGAACACCGATGAACACCTTAAATCAAAGAAATCCCAATGATAAAAAGTTGAAGTATACAGCATAAAGTGATCCCCGTTCGAGATACGCCATGCATCCTACGTCCATTCAGATGGCAATGATATTTGATTCCACTTGTACTTACAATGACATTTCAACTAACAAGTTCGGAGAGCTGGGAATCGGGACTTCATGTATGAGATTTGATCCGGAGCAAGGTCAACCGTCACGTTGGACCAATTTCGAGAATTTTACGACCTCCCTCCCCCTTCTAGAGGGCCTCGATACGACCCCCTCTCAGGGCCAACCCTTCACGACCATCCTCCTCCCTGCCCTCGCCTGCCATGGGGCGATTCTATAGTATTTGATTCTGAGATTAGTCGACACAGCCAACTTCGCCCACTTTTCCCTCCGAAATTGCCGTTGAGCGGGAGGGCGGGGAGGGGGTATATCGAACGTGCGGCAAAATTTTCGCACTCAACCCAAAAGCCCACCTACAACAATCCATTCTCCGTTCCATAAACATCCCTTCCCTTACCGTAACATTGACGCTCCTCGCTACCTCGCGAAATACGATCTCCACCCCCTCGTTGGACTTTGTCCAACGGACGGTTGACCCTGACCCGGAATCACTTCACATGCGTGGCGCCACTTTCCTCTGCATCGCCCCTAGCTTCGTTGAAACTAGCTCATTCCAGTCATTCTGCGCATGTCTTTTTCAGCCACTAGAATGACCTCTGGGAATTCTATCGTGATGATTTTAGCAAAAAAAAAACAATACATCGTCTCAGTTAAGTCTGCTTTCAACGAGAATTCCAGAGGAACTTCAAGGTGTAATCAAATTTTTCGCAAGATAGGAGAACATATTGGGGTCTAGCACTCGGTATGCACCTGGGGTGTGGAAAAGGCTTTGAGTAGCCATTGGACCGTACCTGAAGCCACCATCGTATCAAAGTGCTGCTATGAGTGATTTCGATGAGGTGATTGATATGGAGAAAGGCAACAAGTTGAATGCCGGAATAAGGGCATAGAAAAAGAAGGTCAACAATCAGAACTGTGCCGATCACATAGAAATATACTTGTGCCGACTCATAGCCTGCACTCGCCATCGTCTAAAAACATTTACAAATGCAATTGATCAGATTCGACAAGTTACTGATTCTTACCTGCTGCCGCTGCTGCAGTCACTTGCCTTCTTTGAACTGCGATGCACTCGCCGAGTGTCTTCGTTGTTCAGCGTCCCGTTCTCCTCTTTGAACTGACGAATCGTGCGGAGTATAAACGCGTAACATACCTAGAAACAGGCTTACTATGTATGTATTGCATATTATTTTATTTATTTATTTTTATTCTTATGTATACAGCCATTTCATTAATAATGTTGAAAGCGGACTATCCATTCATTTAGCGCGACAACACCTGGCTCTAGCGCCGTAAGTGTCGCCGCAAAAGGGCGCCGAACCCCTTTCGGATCACCAAATTTCCTAAACACTCGTCCAAACACGAATATCAAACCAGTTATTGTGAGTGAGCTTGAAGCCTGCGCCACGGGCGTCACCCTTGGGTTCATTTGGCGCCTGTGGTGCGGGCGACTGGTGTTTTCGCGCTGAACTGATGCACTATTCGTGTTCTACGAGTTTAAATACCTCAAGAGACATCTCTCAAGCCAAATCCACAGTGATGGCCAAATTTCCTTGAAAATCCGGCTCAGTTTTCTAGAGTGCGGCAGCAATGGGCCAATTGTGTCGAATTTTGTTTTATAGTACTCGATTAGAATACGTATATTTTTACAGTTATGTAGGCGTTCATCCAGTAAGAGGGGGCATCAAGTGGCTGCCCCATCCCCTAGACTGCCTACACTCCCCCTGGCGCACAGGTTTCTCGAAGTACGGGACCCCGTGAGCCAGGGGGAGTGAAGCCAGTCTAGGGGGTGGGGGTGAGGGCAGCCACTTGACGTTGCATCACAATGCCCCCCCTTACCGGATGAGCGCCGTTATGTATATCGTATAAGCCAAAAACGTGTTGAAAGCTCGACTAGATCAAGAAGAAAACTCAGCGCACCACGACGATGGCGAGAACGAGAAAACACAGTAAGGAAATCATCAACATGCTCAGCGTCGCTATGTCGATGTGCCACGGCTTCTCGTCTGAAAATTTAATTATTGTAAATACTAGCTTTCAATCATCGAAGAGAATGGAAGTCTGAGGGACAGCACATGGAAACGTACCAGTCGTGGGAAGATAAGGCGACGATGGCGGAACAAGCAATCCAAGACCCATAATTACACTAACGACCCAACTGAAAAAGCAAGACATCACGCTAAATACACGCATTTTTCGTGATCTATGGAAATGATCATGTAAACACGAAAGGTCGAAACTTCAAGCAGTTTGCTCTTCAAGCGCAGAGAGCCCCTCCACATCCTGACCTGAACGAATCAAACCCGATGCTTTTAAAGGGGTCTTGAAGGCCATGCCCCAGGATCACATTGGTGTGGCTCTTGCACACGAATGCGAATGTATTGGTGCGAAATGGGCCGCAGTAAAGAAAAAAGGAAAAGAATCCGTCGAAAACGCTAGGTTAAGGGCTCACTCACCTTCCTAATCGGCTGTGCTAAGGGAATGAGAGACTAAGCGCGGAGAGGAGAGTATGAGGCGAGAGAGCGCTACAGATGAGAGAGCGCCAGACAACAGCGAAAAAATCTGCAGCTTCAGCAGCTTACTTTGCAAGGCCCAAGCGCTCTTGTCGGTTGGTTTCCGTGCACGGGAACGCCACATTTGTGATTGTCCTCTAGGGGTCTATACTACAGACCGAAGGGAAGCGTTCACACGACCTCTGCCTGGGTTGTGCCTTTAGGAGCGCATTCAGATCTATCGAACAACTTTACTAGCCTTTACATGCACGTCATCAGACTAATGTACTACTGATTATGGACGCAAGGTCCTACCTCAAAGCCTCACGACGGCGGTAGCAGATGACATCATATCCTGAAGACGGTGAGGGCTGTGAGCAATGGCTTGCTTCTGTTTTTGAAGGGACATTTAAGGAATATTTTGCCGTGAGACTTTCTTTGAGGAGAGTGCACTCTGTGACGAAAAGTTCGCTTATGTTAATCATAGGCTAGTCTCAATTGACCGCCCTTCCCCCGTATATTAAGTCGCCGCAGAAGTTCGTGCGTATTTTTTGGATCTCGCACCAGAAATTCACTTGGCTACTTCTGACATAGGTTCGATGAGGGATCTAAATTTCTAAATTAAAAGTGAATCGCGCTCACCATAGTAGCTTTCAGCAAGTTCAAAGTGGAAAAAGCAGGAGCCATGTTCGTCAGGCATTTCTTCATGATCTTCTACTAAAGTGCATTGAGGCCGAAGTCAGACGCAAATGTGCTCTGCGATACATCTTCCTGTCGCCGCTCATGATGCGGTATCAGAACCGTTAGATATACTCGACTCAGGCGGCTACGGCCTTCGAAAAAGCCTGATTCAGGAGAATCAGTGTCGGATTAAGGTAGCTGCGCTTTCCCAGTAAGGCAATCCGTATGGGTAACTCCCATTTGGCCAACATACCGTGATGTTTCAGGAGCGTATTTTACGAACTGTATCCTTTCTCACAAAATCGAGTGTAAACTCGAAAAGTGCTATTCTATACCACATATCTCGGAAACTGGATGAAAAAGGAGCGTTAAGAGCGTTAAGCATTCATCAGCTGCTTTTTGAGAGCACCACGCATACAACCTCCATTCAGAATCGCAGTGGCATGTAATATTGGACATACTCGGGGATGCAATGACCTGCTAGGGTAGGCAGTTGAACAGTTCAAGCTTCTACCTTCCCATGTAAACCGGGCATTTTTCAGGCGACCCCGAAGAAAATGAAAGTTTGGCGGCCGGACCGTGAGAACGATTCGAAAAAAAAGAAACAGAGAAAAAGAGGAAGCAGTTGTTGCCGAACATTCTGGAAGAACTCGCAAAAAAATGCTTTACTATCAGCTATTCCAGGGGAGTAAAATAAGATGACCTCATACTGGAATGGTTGAAATGGACTGTATGGCTTTTTGGTATCCATTCCTCTATTATATTAGGTTCCAGAGATTAATGCGGGTTTTTGAACTCCGTCCTCAAAGCAATACATCTCAGCCCAGAGCCAACATTTTTAGTTATCCGAAAAAGTATTGGAAACCCATTACCAAGGCCTAGCCTGACAAGAAATTTCCTTATCAAGAGGGAAGCTGAACTACTATACTGACTCGAAATATAGAAAACTTATGCAGAAGCGCGGGAATCGTCGAAGGTCATTTTTACCGTGTCTTGGTTTTCGAACCTTTTTCTGCCTTATTAGAGGGCTGTCAGAATATGGTTTTTAGGCTTTAAACAGGGGAAAACAGGAGGTTGGTGAGGGTGAGATCCTGCGAATGCACTTTGTGAAGCAAAGCTGGATAGGTTCGATTCGTCCATTTCTTGCGAAGTCGTTTGTGCGGCATGTGGATGGGCGTCAACATGGAGAACATTTCTTTCCTTCTTCTGGAGACAGACCTTGCTGTTTCGGTGGGCTACGTCAGTGTGATGGACAGACTTTGTTACTGTATAAAATTCACCTGGGCCCAGAAAGCTGTGATGCATCATTTCTGCGGAAGGACCTCGAAACCATCAGCATGGTGCTCACCTTGTCGAACTTTGCTTTGATGTTCGTTGCTGCACAGAATTTTAGAAATTTGCTCAGTTCTGTTGCACATAATCGCTTTCCGTTGGGGATGGCGAAATGTTCCAAAAGTCGGACACTTTTGTTGCGTGAAACGAGTTGTGACAAGATCCCTGCAAGGTGACTTTGCTGCTGCTCAGTCAGTTCATGCGGTACCCACTTGTCCAGCTTTCTTACCTTCCCAAGCACTTTCGAACCTTCCGAAACTTTCTATATGCTTGCTCATCGTTATGCTGCTGGTTGTCATACTTATTTGATAATCAGCCATATAATCCTTAGAAGGCTGTCGTCAACAGGAGAATGCCGTCCGTAACCCCTTCATTTTGAATCTCGAGTTCCCTACACTGAAAACTTCGAGCCATTGATGCAGTGTGCATTTGTTGGCACATCCTTAGCCTCACACAACAATCTTATTCCGAGCTGTCTGCAGAGCACTCTCTCCGAAATCCAACTCATATGGACCTGCACGCTTCGAAGCTATAGATTCAAACCTTCAAAAAAAGCTGAGGCCCGAGTTCTTGCAAAATGCAATAGCAGTACATATAAGAAAGAGAATGAGATGGGTTTCACAACAATGACCACAGTACAGCATTCAAAAGAAAATTCCTCCGAAAAATGTCTAGCAAGTATGCCGCATCGAAACCCGCATTACTTTCTGGACAACTTAATACGTCTATTCCTGGCCTGAGGCCGCGAGCAGATTCACCTGTATATTAGGAGAGGTCTCAGAAGTGCTTTTTTGAATATTTGAAGAAATAATGGTTGGTTTTGTGAAATTTTTGTTGATTTCGTTCCTGAAAACGGAAAGAAAAAATAAACAAAAGCGGACTATCTTTTGCTTTTATAATAACTTCCGGACCACTGGAATTGTTCAAATGCTTTAGGGAGAGAAAACAAATGAATAACTCACCAGCAGCTGAGAGTCGCTAAGACAGTTTTCCGTCGAACGTATCGTCGATAATGAAGCGGATAGCGAATGACTATGAATTCATTCGTTGTAAAAACAAGCAGATTGAAAATTGTCAGCATATTGCAGATGCGAAGCACAACT